TGACAGTTTTCCAGTAAAAGGGGAAGTCATCAGTGAAACCAGAGGTCAATCTGCGATCTGTATGCTTGACTACAGACATGGCACATAGTCTGGGAGGAAGGAGTAGATCTTTGAGATATCAGGTCACAGCTGTTTCCTTTTGTTTCTCTTCATAGTGAAATGAATTTGCTTGAAATATGATAAATGCCTAGGAGACATTATAGTGTCATTGGGGATGAGTCAATGCTAGAGTCTCCTAGACACTGATATTAATATTGCATTTCTTCAGCTTGACCTTCAAGGTGTCCTTGAATCTCTTCTTTTGCCCATGCCTAGAGTGGTAACCATTGGTGAGTTGGGAGTATAAGACCAGTATTGGGAGCCTGTTGTCAGGAATCCTTAATACATATCCTGTCTGACAGATCTGGTGCTGTAAAACATGGCTTCAAAGCTGGTGGTGTTTGCTTGAGCCAGAATGCTGGCATTCATTCTTCTGTCTTGCCAATTGAGAGAAGGATTTTCCAAAAACATTGTTGATGGTAACATTCCAAAGCTTTTCAGGTGTTCCTTACATGACATCCAAGTTTCACACCCATACAACAAGGTAGACAGGATAACAGTCAGGTAGGCAAGATTGGTTTGGGTCCTGATGTCATGATCATCAAAGACATTATTTTGGAGATGTCAAAAGCAGACACATCTCACCACAGCTGATCTACTTCATTTGGCAATGTCTGTGCATACCTGATGTTTACGGCTTTTCTAGCCTCCTCCCAGAAAGGACATAGACTTAGACTGTGGACATGCACTGAATTTACAACGTGTTTTTACATGACTTTACATGAATAAATAACTCAAACTGACTTTAGAGTAAAAATGGAGATAGCGCAACAATAAATCACTCTGCTCTGGAATAAACCTACTCTAAGCAAGAGAGGAGTAACTAGGCACCAGTGCATGCATTTGCACGTGTTTTACTGTAGAGTCGACTAATTAGCCCTGCAGTAAAATGTCATGGTCTGCATATGCACTGGCATTAGGGAGCAGTAAATTAATTAACTCCACCATAAGATAGCACTGTTGGGGCCAGTACTATCTACATTGGAGTAACTAAGTGTGACAAAATGCACATGTAGATGGTTATGGGCTGGCTGGAGCATGAGGATGCTAAAGTGCAGGGCATGCCTTCTACCTAGCCACACAGTTCTGCAGGATCTGCACTACTGTGCCCCAGCTAGCCCCTCTGCCACCCAACACTACCACCAGGAGCCCAAGGCTGATCCCTGAAGCCTGCTGCCAGCCTGGGGCTACACTGCCCTAATTCAAACTGCTGCTGGCCTGGGTGCACAATGTAGATTCTAGGCTCCCCCTGGATGCTAGCCCAGGGACTGACAGAGAGCACAGGGCCAAGAGACAGCTGTCTCCTGGCAGGGGCTGGGACATCTGTCCCTGCCTCCAGGAGCTGCCTGCTGCTAAGATGGTCTCCACTGACTCGAGCCTAGGTGGGGACAATGTCTCCCTGCCCTGGCACCAGGGAGCTCCCAGCCCCTGCCCTGTGATCATGGAATCCAAGCTGTGAGATTCTTATCTCCCAACCCAAACCCTGTGGTCCTGGAGCTGGTGCTGGAAGATCCTTCTTTCCCAGCACCAGCTCCACAGTCATAGGACCAGTGCTGGGAGAGAAGAATTTCCCAACCCAGAACACGTGATCGTGGAATGGGGGCTGGAAGCTCCCTGCTGCCAGGGCAGGGGGACATTCTTCCTGCCCGGGCTCCAGTGACAGACCCTGCCCCAGCAGCAGGCAGGTCCTGGGGGCAGAGAGTAATCTCCTGTCCCATGCTGCCCCAGCTGACTAAGAGCAAATGTGCTCCTGGTCAGGTATCTGTAGCTGCACTACTGCACAGTACCTAATTGAGAGTTAATTTGCTACTTGCATTTGCAGATATCAAATTTACTCATGATTAAAGCCAATTTCTGCACAGTAAGCATTTGCACATGTAAACAGTGATGCTTACTGTGCAGTATTTAGCTCTAAACTTGAGTAAACCTTCTCATGTCGACATGCCCAGATAATCCTCCAACCTGCCACAGTTGCTATTTATATTTTGTTCAACCAGTAGGACTCAGGCAAAACAAGCATTGAATTCAAAGATATTCAGACTATAGAACCTGTCAGACTAAAGAATCAGAGCCTCAATTTGTATATATTCAATAATGTTACTATTAAGGAACTTGTTAGCAAATAGAAAATGGGAGACGTAACTAATGAGTCACACTAATGTAATAGCTGAGCTATTTATTTTTTCTGTTAAAAAACCCAAATATAATACTGCCTTTGAACTTGAAAATAACATTTAAAAACTGAATTTTAGGACACTATGGTCAAGGAAATTTTGCAGGAAGAGACCACTTTCAACAATGTCACTCTTAGTGAAAGATATTATTATAACTTTAATAGTACTCTCCATGCAAGATCTCCAAGTGTTTTACAGGCATTAATTAGTTAAGACACTTTTGTAAATCTGTGAGTTAAGTAAGTATTATCCCCATTTTACACATGAGTAAACAAAATAATTGTGCATTGCAAATAACTGTTCCACTTAGTGATTTTATTTTCAACACAAATATGAAATGGAAATTTCTATTTGTAGTTCACAAGAATTTGATTCTCCAGTGAATAGACTGAATCCTGGGAGATGCAGAGTCCATTCCACTCCTGTGGTACCTAAGGGTCCTCAGGCCTTTGCAGGTGGGAACCTGTACCACTGGTATATGTAAGTACACTCTGAGAAACTGTTCAAGCAGAACATTGTCCTTCCCACAAAAAAAAAAAAAAGAAAAGAAAAAGTTAACATCAAAGATTTAAATCCCCATTAAAGAATCCATAGCTCAAAGCTAGAGAACTTACCAATATTTAATACAAGGAGATGAAAAAAACCCAACACATGAAAGGGAGGACACAACACTATAAAACAGATGGCAGAATGAACAACTAAAGGAATTCTGTATAAGAAAAAAAGTGAAAAGGAGAAAATGAAGCATGAGAGAGAGAGTGAATAAGTGCTGCTATTCACTATACAGGTACATGTGTATGATGACAGAGTTAACATCTAGGAAAGTGAAATCACCTTGAAAATGATAAATGAGTTGTAATGCTTCCTGTTTATCATTCTGTCATATCTTTTTCTTTCTAAAATGCCTTTAAATGATGCAAGCAGATCCATGTCAAAGCATCTTCATGATTCACTATTAAATAGGTTGTCTCTACTGCACTCAGACACCTTGGGATGAAGGGAGTATAAATACTTAGGAGGTAGACAAGTCTCTGGAAATACTCTTGGCATTTATCTACATTAACTGGGTTCATGTACTGGGTATGATGTGTCAGAAGATGATTGTACACTATTCCAAAGTTTATACTGTAAGGATGGGTGAGCTGGCTTTAATTTAAGCGTTAAATTAGTTAACCCAAACCTTCACCTAAAATTAGAATCAAATATAAACTGGACTTTTTTTTTTATTTCAACAATGTAATTGATCTTTAAAAGTCTGTATTTAATTTCAGCATAAGAACATTAAGAACTACACGTGCATATGCTTACTGTACAATAAACTTTGCTACCCATGAGTAAACTTGCTACTTGCAAATGCAAGTAGCAAATTTACTTGTGCGTAGTTACTGCACAGTAACATGTGTAGATGCCAACCAGGAGCAGATTTGCTCCCTGTCAGCCCTGCCACTTGAAAACCAGCATGAGCTCAGTCCCAGGGCCCTAGGGCCGGGAGCCTCTCCTGCCTCAGGGCTTCACAGGCCCAACCCCAGGCCCTTTAAAATCCTGCAGGCATTTTGAGCCCTGGGGCACAACACCAGGGAGCCTGGGGAGGCGGGGGGACTCTTGGCTTCTGCTGCCCCTGCACAGGCCATGGGCTACATGTGCTAGCCTATCTGCACCCTGGTGATGCTGCCTGGCATTGCAGTGCTGTGCAGCTTCCAGGCCCATGCTGCCCAGCCCTGCAGGCTGTCATAGGCTGCTGCCAGGCCTGCCAGCACCTGGGCCCAGCTGTAGCCAGCTCCTGGCCACTGAGGCCAGCGCCAGTTGCCTACAGCCAACCCTCATCAGCCTGCCCAGACCCTGCAAGTGCTGTGGAGCATTGCCTTGCCATGTGGCTGCTAGCCCCATGCTGTGCCCGTGTGCTGAGTGATGCAGGCAGCTGCCCAAGCCTGGCAGCAAAGGGACAGCTGTGCGGATGCCCAGAGATCTAGTGCAGGAGCCCAGATAGTGTCATCACCAATGCCATATGCTGTCACCCGGGGCCCCAACTGGTCACAGAAAGAGACTGGAGACCTCATGGTGCTATGGAGTGAGACAGAGGTGTAGCGGCAGTTCCCACTGGGTGGGCACTCCAATGCCCACATCTGTGAGGGGCTGTCAGGCCAGGTGAAGGAGCGTGGGTACGATCGCTTGGCATGGCAGTGCCACATAATGGTCAAGGCAGATGTCATGCAGCACACAGGCTCTGATGATAATCTGGGGTATGTTGTTCTTGGTGACCTCGAGGTGGGTGGTGAGGTTGCACCAGTGTTCATAGATTTCATAGACATTTGGGTTGGAAGGGACCCTGGAGGATCATCGAGTCTAGCCCCCTGCCCAAGGGGCAGGAAGTCAGCAGGGAACATAGGATCCCAGCAAGATAAGCATCCAAATGTGTCTTGAAGGTGTTCAAAGTGGGTGCTTGTGATGCCCTGAGGGCAATGCTCAGGATCTCAATATTGTGCTGTTAGACAGGAGAGTGTGGTGTACAACTGCACATGCACACATAAAAATCAATTAAGCACTTACTCATTAGGTGCATACACCCCTATTAGACATACACACACTACCAGCTCAGGCACATACACTATATGCCCCAAAAGTTAGACACAGATCACTAATTTGTATATCATGCACACAGTGCCATACACACACACACACAGAGTAGCAACTCAGATACACACACGTTCGGTCTAGGTTCATGCACACTACACACACCAAATTTAGACAGAATCAATTACCAACACCTGCACATTCAATACACATATGTGGATTACTAATTCATATACCACACACACACAATGCTATCTATATATGTATGTATATGCGTATTCACTAATTTACACACATTCCACCCACCTACACATACAACACCCTAAGTTGGGTGTTGTGATAGGTATGTATGTATGTGCTTGGTGTACTTGGGATACCTGGA